AGCTCCAGGCAGCTCCTCGCAGCAACATTTATGTCCTTCTCTCGTCCCTTCAACAGCAACGCCGCCGGGACGCCAAGAGGAAGGAATATCTTGAGAACATCAAGCAATTGATAAACAGCGAGCGTCCGAGCAGCAGCGTTACCGTGCCCAGGACACCGGCTCGTCGCTGCACATCTAAGGGATCACAGCGTAATCTGCTCACACACGCCTGGTTCCTCCTCCCCAGGAAGCACCCGGGTCACAGGAATCAGGGAAACCCCAGAAGCTCCCGACCCGCAGCTGGAGCCAGTGGCACCGCCAGGCTGCGGGGACACGTTTCTGTCACCGCGGGGGAGCAAGTGTCCGGGCGGATGGCGTTGAAACCTGCCGTGTGTGTTAGCAGCACAAGGGGATTCCTCCTCCTCAGGGTCCAAACTGAGGATATCTGGGGACAGCACAAGTGCCACCCGTGTGTGCTGGCACGTCCACTGGGGACCTGCAGCTGGAGGCTGGCTCTCTGCTCAGCAAAACCCCGGATCACGATTGCATTTTGGGGGTTATTCCTTTCTTTTAGTCACTTTTAGAGGAGCACCTTCCAGCTCCCGGGAACTCTTTGGAAATAGAGATGCACCAGTGAGCACGGGAGGAGGACGAGAACGGGACGATGCCACCAGCCCCGGCTGGCACAGCAGGCAGCACCTGCAGCCAGATCACCGCTTTAGGCTCTTACAGACATGGAGAACTGCTCTGAGGATATCTTAAAATGTTTTTTTTTTTTTTGGTCAGATGTAGAATTATTGCCTTGCAGCCACCCTCAGTGGGGCAGATTCGAGTTGTCTCACGTTGGCTTTGCTAAAGCATCCGTTACTACAGCTCCCACCAGCACGGGCTCCTGGACGCGTGCACCTTCTTGGCTGCCACCGAGCCAGCGTGACAGAGCAGTTTGTACGGGGACAGACATTAGCATACTGTCAGAAACCACAACAATAAAGAAAACCTTACGGCACAGCAGGCTCAATGGCAAATCAGCATCTCCAAAAGCATTATTCCTGGATTAATTACCCCGAGTCCTCACCACCCTGATTTTGCAGAACGAACAGGGTCAGATTCCCGGGAAAGAAGAGCGGCTGAGCCCGAAATGCTCGTGCACACCCACACACAGAGGCACGACCGGACCCAGCACAGCAGAGGGAACACAAGTCTCACCGATCCGCTTCTCCAGGTCAGCAGCCTCGCTGGGGGTGGCTCTGGGCAGGATTCCCGGGTCCCTGAAGCTCGTCTGGAGCAGGCAGCTGATGACAAAGAAGAAGAGGACGGCTGCGATGATGGGGATGGCCAGGGTCAGGTGGCTGGCGAGGAAGGGACAGCTGGTAAAAGAGAAAAAAAATAATAATTGCATTGTTACCAAGCAGGGCTCCAGGACTGGCTGTCGGCTCTGCTGTTACACACCGTGAATCACCACCAGGTGCTGGGCTCAAGCACTTCAGCTTCGCAGAGCCCTCCAGAACAGCGAGGGCCAGCCCAGAGAACACGGGAGCAGCACCTCTGGCACGAAGACAGCAGCACAAGCCCCTCTACGCGACCTCTTTGCCCTTCTGGGATCCCAGAACCGTGTTTCAAAAACCCATCAGCTGCCCCAAAGCCCGTCACCGACAACAGCAGCACCCGGAGGAACACCCCAAGCTCCGCAGAGATCAAAACCGGCATGAACACCATCCCATCGGGTCAACACGTGAAGCTGAGCGGGAGCTTGGCTTCGATTTAGCACAGCTCTGCTGTCTCTGGGTGACTCCTGTGCCCTTCACGGCGTGCCAGCTGTTCGGACGGGGACACCTTCCAGTGGGGACACTGCTGGGACCAGCCCCCAGGCATCTCAGCAGGCGACGCCCGCTCCTGGCCTTGCCGGACCACCCCCTGGGGCTGGTTTGGGAAAGCTGGGGACCGGCGCGACCACACTCCACATCCCGGCAGCTCCGTTCCTCGCGGCAGGACGGGTGAGGACGGTCGAGGGACGCGGCTCCCCGCACGGCGCGGTGCTGGGACCCCTCCCGCCCCTCGCTCTGCTGGGGGATTTGCTATTCTAAGCACCGATAAATACCCAGAACCCAGCCCAGCCAAGCTGCTCAAGCCCTGCTGTCTGCGGGCAGCGTAACGCTGCGAGGCACTGCGAGAGGATTAAGCAACTTTTGTTTCAAGTCCCAAGCTCAGCTGTCCAGAACAAAGCAGCCACCGAGAAACAAAACCCCGTCGGCCCCAGCCCAACGCTGCTGCCGAGCCCCTCGGCCATCCCCCGACAGGGACAGAAGGTCTCTGCAACGAGAGGTGGGAGCTTTGTTGTCCCCCCTTTTCTGGGAGAACCCCTGCATCCCGCTTTCCCCCATCAGGCAAGGAGAAATCACATCCAAAAAGTGAACTGTAGGCACGGGCAGGATGTATTTGTTGTATGTCTGGCAAACCGTACCCTGTGCACCAGCAGCAAGCAGCTAAAATAACAACTGGGAAAGCCCCAGGGCATCTTCAAGCAAGAGAGTGACGAGGCAAGAAGGGAGGGGAGGGCAGACGTCCTCCGTCCTCCGCTCGGCCCCGTACAAAGCGGTTACTGTGCTCGTGCTGCCCGTTACTTTCGGACGCAGTGGGGAAAGCTGTCCGAGAGGCACAGATGACATTAAGGAGTTTTCACGTCGGGATGCTGTTACTGCCTCCCACAGCTGCCTCCCCCTTTCAGCTCATCTCCGTTCATCTCCCCGCCCGCAGGCTCGGGCGGCTTTACCCACAGACTGGCGGAGATAACACCGGGCATGATCCCCCCGATGCCTACAGCAGCAGGAAAAACACCCCCTGCCCTCCTCCTCCTCCCTTCCTCCCTCCACAGAGGCAGCAGAAGCCCTCGGAGGGGTCGGTAACCAGGGGGGCTCCATCCCCAGCCCCTGGGCAGTGCAGGATGTAACGGGGTGCTCTCGGCTCTCCCCTCCTTGGGGTGCCCCCCAAAAGGAAAGGGGCTGGGGGAGGTTCCCCAGACCCCACAACGGGGACAGAGCTCCAGTGCAGACCCCCAGGGTGGGACCCCCAAGGATTTCACCATTTATCACCCAACTTCAACAGGAACACCGGTCCCGCTGCTGCTGTGGACAAAGCCCCCCAGTTCGGGGGTCTCCTGGCCCAGTTTTCTCCTTGCCAGCAGGAGGGGAGACTGGGGAGGGGGTATTTGGAGACCAGGGGGGTATTTAGAGACCAGGGGGGCATC